ACGGAGAATTCCAGCGGGAATTAACGGGAATTATATGGGGAATAACCGGGAATTTATACCGGGAATTAACGGGAATTCCATCGGGAATTAACGGGAATTTATATCGGGAATTTATATTGGGAATTCCATCGGGAATTACCGGGAATTTTACCGGGAATTCCATCGGGAATTACCGGGAATTGTACCGGGAATTCCAACGGGAATAACCGGGAATGGAGCGGGGATAACCGGGAAAAACCGGGAATGGAGCAAAAATATCAGGAATGGCTCGGGAAAAACCGGGAATAACCCGGGAAAAACCTGGAATGGAGCAGAAATATCGGGAATGGAGCGGGGATAACCGGGAATGAGCCGGGAAAAACCAGGAATGGAGTTGGAATATCGGGAATGGAGCGGAAATGAGCCGGGAAAAACCCGGAATGGAGCAGAAATGTCGGGAATGGAGCGGGAATGACCGGGAATGAACCGGGAAAACCCGGGAATGGAGTTGGAATATCGGGAATGGAGCGGGAAAAACCGGGAATAACCCAGGAAAAACCGGGAATGGAGCAGAAATATCGGGAATGGAGCGGGGATAACCGGGAATGAGCCGGGAAAAACCAGGAATGGAGTTGGAATATCGGGAATGGAGCGGAAATGAGCCGGGAAAAACCCGGAATGGAGCAGAAATGTCGGGAATGGAGCGGGAATGACCGGGAATGAACCGGGAAAACCCGGGAATGGAGTTGGAATATCGGGAATGGAGCGGGAAAAACCTGGAATGGAGTTGGAATATCGGGAATGGAGCGGGGATAACCGGGAAAAACCGGGAATGGAGCAGAAATATCGGGAATGGAGCGGGAAAAACCGGGAATGAGCCGGGAAAAACCTGGAATGGAGTTGGAATATCGGGAATGGAGCGGGAAAAACCGGGAATGACCCTGGAAAAACCTGGAGTGGAGTTGGAATAGCGGGAATGGAGCGGGGATAACCGGGAATGAGCCGGGAAAAACCGGGAATGGAGCAAAAATATCGGGAATGGAGCGGGAAAAACTGGGAATGAACCAGGAATGACCGGGAATGGCTCGGGAAAAAGCGGGAATGGAGTTGGAATATCGGGAATGGAGCGGGAAAAACCTGGAATGGAGTTGGAATATCGGGAATGGAGCGGGGATAACCGGGAATGAGCCGGGAAAAACCAGGAATGGAGTTGGAATATCGGGAATGGAGTGGAAATGAGCCGGGAAAAACCCGGAATGGAGCAAAAATAGCGGGAATGGAGCGGGAAAAACCGGGAATAACCCGGGAAAAACCGGGAATGGAGTTAGAATATCGGGAATGGCTCGGGAAAAACCAGGAATGGAGTTGGAATATCGGGAATGGAGCGGGGATAACCGGGAAAAACCGGGAATGGAGCAGAAATATCGGGAATGGAGCGGGAAAAACTGGGAATGAACCAGGAAAAACCTGGAATGGAGTTGGAATATCGGGAATGGAGCGGGGATAACCGGGAATGAGCCGGGAAAAACCGGGAATGGAGTTGGAATATCGGGAATGGAGCGGGAATGAGCTGGGAAAAACCCGGAATGGAGCAGAAATATCGGGAATGGAGCGGGAAAAACCGGGAATGAGCCGGGAAAAACCTGGAATGGAGTTGGAATATCGGGAATGGAGCGGGGATAACCGGGAATGAGCCGGGAAAAACCGGGAATGGAGTTGGAATATCGGGAATGGAGCGGGAATGAGCTGGGAAAAACCCGGAATGGAGCAGAAATATCGGGAATGGAGCGGGAAAAACCGGGAATAACCTGGGAAAAACCTGGAATGGAGCGGGAAAAAGCAGGAATGGCGGCAGGAGGGAATTCGGGAATTCCCGTGGGAGTTTGGGGAGGAATTTTGGGAATTTCCTGGGAGTTTTCGCCGATTTTGGGGGGATTTTTGTGGATTTTTTGGGGAAGATTTTGGGGAATTTTGGGGAGGATTGGAGGAAATCGAGGAGAATTTTGGGAATTTTGGGAATTCTGGGGGGATTTTGGGAGAATTTGAGGAAATCCAGGAGGATTTTTGGGAATTTTTTGGGGAATTTTGGGGTTTTTTCTTCCAAAAAAACTCCGAAATTCCCATTTTTTTTTGCTTTTGGGGGGAAATTTTGGGAATTCTGGGAGGATTTGGGAAGAATTTGAGGAATTTCAGGATTTTTGTGGATTTGGGGAAGATTTTTGGGAATTTCGGGGGGGAATTTGGGGAGATTTTTATGGATTTTGAGGCAGATTTTGAATTTTTTTCCCCAAAAAAGCTCCAAAATTTTCGGGTTTTTTTTTGTTTTTTGCGGGGATTTTTGGGGAATTTTGGGATTTTGGGGAATTTTGGGATTTTGGGGAATTTTGGGGCTGTCCCAAAGCGGAATTTGGGGTTTGCAGGTGATCCAGTACCAGACCGTGCGCTACGACGTCCTGCCCCTGTCTCCCATCTCCAGGAACCGCCTGAGTGAGTCCCAAAATCCCGGGAAAAAAACCCAAAATCTTGGGAAAAAAATCCCAAAATCTGGGAGAAAAATCCCCAAAATCCTGGGAGAAAAAATCCCAAAATCCTGGGAGAAAAAATCCCGGGAAAAAGTCCCCAAATCTTGGGAAAATAATCCCAAAATCCCGGGAAAAAAACCCAAAATCCTGGGAAAAAAACCCAAAATCCTGGGAAAAAAATCCCAAAATCCTGGGAAAAAAATCCCCAAAATTTGGGGAAAATCCCAAAATCCGAGGGAAAAATCACAAAATTCGGGAAAAATTCAAAAATCTGGGAAAAAAATCACAAAATTGGGAAAAATCCCAAAATTAGGGGGAAAAAGACCAAATTTGGATAAAAAAATCCTGAATTTTGGGGGAAAAATCCCAAAATTGGGAGGAAAAATCCCCAAATTTTGCAGCCAAATCCCCAAATTTTCCCCCAAATTCCCAAATTTCCCCCCAAATTCGCGGATTTTTCCCCCAAATTCCCAAATTTTCCCCCCAAATTCCCCTCAAATCCCCCAATTTTCCCCTAAAAACCCCAATTTTCCCCCAAATTTCCCCCCAAATTCCCAAATTTCCCCCCAAATTCCCAAATTTCCCCCCAAATTCCCGGATTTTCCCCCCAAATTCCCAAATTTTGCCCCAAATTCCCGGATTTTCCCGGAATTCCCGGATTTTTTCCCCAGACCAGGTGAAGAGGAAGATTCTGGTGCTGGATTTGGACGAGACCTTGATCCACTCCCACCACGACGGGGTCCTGAGGCCCACGGTGCGACCCGGGACCCCCCCCGACTTCATCCTCAAGGTTTGGGGGGAAATCCCGAAATTCTGGGAAAATTTGGGAATTTTGGGAATTTTTGGAATTTTTTAAAATTTTTTTTGGAATTTTTTGGGAATTTTTTGGGAATTTTTTTGGAATTTTGGGGTTTTTTGGGGGGTTTTGAGGGGTCCTGGGACCCCCCCCGACTTCATCCTCAAGGTTTGGGGGGAAAATCCCAGAATTCCGGGAAAAATCGGGAATTTTCGGAAAATTTTGGGAATTTTGGGGGTTTTTTTGGAATTTTTGGGGGGTTTTTTTGGAATTTTTTGGGAATTTTTTTTGAATTTTGGAGTTTTTTGAGGGGTTTTGGGGGGTCTTGGGACCCCCCCCGACTTCATCCTCAAGGTTTGGGGGGAAAATCCCGGAATTCTGGGAAAATTTGGGAATTTTGGGAAAAATTTGGGAATTTTGGGGGTTTTTTTGGAATTTTTTTGGATTTTTTTGGGGAATTTGGGGATTTTGAGGGGTCCCGGGACCCCCCCAGACTTCATCCTCAAGGTTGGGGGGAAATCCCGGAATTCCGGGAAAAATCGGGAATTTTGGGAAAAATTTTGGGAATTTTGGGAATTTTGGGGGGTCCCAGGGAAGTTTCTGGGGGATTTTTGGGGGATTTTGGAGCTTCCGGGGGTTTTTGGGGGTCCCAGGGGGATTTTGGGGGTCCTGGGGTTGATTTTGGGGTTCCCAGGGCAAATTTTGGGGTTTTTGGGGCTGATTTTGGGGGGTTTTGGGTGTTTTTTTAGGGGTCCTGGGGTTGATTTTGGGGGTCCTGGGGTTGATTTTGGAGTTCCCAGGGCAGATTTTGGGGTTTTTTGGGGTTTTTGGGGTGGTTTTTGGGGTTTTTGGGGTTGTTTTGGGGATTTTTGGGGGTCCCGGTGTTGATTCTGGGGGTCCTTCACAGGTGGTCATTGACAAACACCCCGTGAGGTTCTTCGTGCACAAGCGGCCGCACGTGGATTTCTTCCTGGAGGTGGTGAGTGAACCCCAAAACCCCCCAAATTCACCCCAAAAACCCCCAAATTCACCCCTAAAACTCCAAATTCACCCCAAAAACCCCCAAATTCACCCCAAAAACCCAAAATTCACCCCAAAAACTCCAAATTCACCCCAAAAACCCCAAAGACCCGAAATTCACCCCAAAAACCCGTTGTTTATTCCCGGTGTTCATTCCTGGTGTTCATTCCTGGTGTTTATTCCCATTGTTTATTCCCGGTGTTCCCGTTGCTTATTCCCGGTGTTTATCCGGGTGTTTATCCGGGTGTTTATCCCAGGTGTCGCAGTGGTACGAGCTGGTTGTGTTCACAGTGATCCCGGTGTTTATTCCCGGTGTTCCCAGTGTTTATTCCCGGTGTTTATCTGCCATTCCCGGTGTTTATTCCCGTTGTTTATTCCCGGTGTTCCCGTTGTTTATTCCCGGTGTTTATCTGCCATTCCCGGTGTTTATTCCTGTTGTTTATTCCCGGTGTTCCCGTTGTTTATTCCCGGTGTTTATCCCAGCTGTCGCAGTGGTACGAGCTGGTTGTGTTCACAGTGATCCCGGTGTTCATTCCCGGTGTTTATCCGGGTGTTTATCCGGGTGTTTATCCCGGTGTTTATCCGGGTGTTTATCCTGCCATTCCTGTTGTTTATCTGCCATTCCCGGTGTTCATTCCCATTGTTTATTCCCGTTCTTTATTCCCAGTGTTTATTCCCGGTGTTTATTCCCAGTGTTCATTCCTGGTGTTTATCCCGGTGTTTATTTGCCATTCCTGGTGTTCATTCCCGGTGTTCCCGTTGTTTATTCCCGTTGTTTATTCCCGGTGTTCATTCCCGGTGTTTATTCCCGGTGTTTATCCCGCCATTCCCGGTGTTTATTCCTGGTGTTCCCGGTGTTTATTCCCGGTGTTCCCGGTGTTTATCTGCCATTCCCGGTATTCATTCCCGGTTTTCCTGGTGTTCATTCCCAGTGTTCATTCCCGTTGTTCCAGTGTTCATTCCCGTTGTTTATCCGGGTGTTTATCCGGGTGTTCCCCCAGGTGTCGCAGTGGTACGAGCTGGTTGTGTTCACAGTGATCCGGGTGTTTATCCTGGTGTTTATTCCCGGTGTTCCCGTTGTTTATTCCCGGTGTTCCCGTTGTTTATTCCCGGTATTCCCGGTTTTCCTGGTGTTCATTCCCAGTGTTCATTCCCGTTGTTTATCCGGGTGTTTATCCGGGTGTTCCCCCAGGTGTCGCAGTGGTACGAGCTGGTTGTGTTCACAGTGATCCCGGTGTTTATCCGGGTGTTCATTCCCGGTGTTCATTCCCGGTGTTTATTCCCGCCATTCCCGTTGTTTATCTCCCAGGTTTCCCAGTGGTACGAGCTGGTTGTGTTCACAGTGTTCCCGGTGTTTATTCCCGCCATTCCCGTTGTTTATCCAGGTGTTTATTCCCGTTGTTTATCCAGGTGTTTATTCCTGTTGTTTATACCCCAGGTGTCGCAGTGGTACGAGCTGGTTGTGTTCACAGTGATCCCGGTGTTTATTCCCGGTGTTCCTGGTGTTTATCCGGGTGTTTATCTGCCATTCCCGGTGTTTATCCCGGTGTTTATTCCCGTTGTTTATCCCAGGTGTCCCAGTGGGACGAGCTGGTTGTGTTCACAGTGATCCGGGTGTTTATTCCCGGTGTTTATCCGGGTGTTTATCTGCCATTCCCGGTGTTTATCCCGGTGTTCCCGGTGTTTGTTCCCGGTGTTCCCGGTGTTTATCCGGGTGTTTATCCGGGTGTTCCCCCAGGTGTCGCAGTGGTACGAGCTGGTTGTGTTCACAGTGATCCCGGTGTTTATCCTGGTGTTTATCCGGGTGTTTATCCGGGTGTTTATCCTGCCATTCCCGGTGTTTATTCCAGGTGTTCCCGGTGTTTATCCGGGTGTTCCCCCAGGTTTCCCAGTGGTACGAGCTGGTTGTGTTCACAGTGATCCCGGTGTTTATCCCGGTGTTTATTCCCGGTGTTCCCGGTGTTTATTCCCGGTGTTCCCGTTGTTTATTCCCGGTGTTCCCGGTGTTTATTCCCGGTGTTCCCGTTGTTCATTCCCGGTGTTCCCGGTGTTTATTCCCGTTGTTTGTCCCAGGTTTCCCAGTGGTACGAGCTGGTTGTGTTCACAGCCAGCATGGAGATCTACGGCTGTGCCGTGGCCGATCGGCTGGACAACAACCGCTGCATCCTGGGCCGGCGCTACTACCGACAGGTGAGAGATACACCTGGACAGGTGAGAGACACCTGGACAGGTGTGAGATACACCTGGACAGGTGTGAGATACACCTGTGTGTGTGAGAGATACACCTGGACAGGTGAGAGACACACCTGTGTGTGTGAGGGGTGTGATACAGGTGTGTGACAACAACCGCTGCATCCTGGGCCGGCGCTACTACCGACAGGTGAGATACACCTGGACAGGTGAGAGACACCTGGACAGGTGTGAGATACACCTGTGTGTGAGATACACCTGGACAGGTGAGATACACCTGTGTGTGTGTGAGATACACCTGTGTGTGTGTGAGATACACCTGGACAGGTGAGAGATACACCT